TGTACTTCACTATCATTGCTATATTCACCCATTTGGCATTTAAATTTTTTTAATGTATTTAAAATTTTTAATTTATTGTAATTTTGTGTGTGCGTGTGTGTATGTGTATGCATAGGTCAGGGGAGAACTTGGGAGCTAATTTTCTCCTTGTACGGTGGGTTCTGGGGACCTAACTCAGGTTATCAGGCTTACACGGCAATTACTTCTACCCGCTGAGCCATCTCACTGGCCCCTATTTGACTTTGTTTATTTTTTAATTTTATGTGTATAGATATTTTGCCTGCATGCATGTAAGTATACACTGGTCATGCAGTGCCCATGGAGGTCAGAAGAAGGTGTCGGAGCCCCTGGAACTGGAATTACAGATGGTGATTAACCACCATGTGGGTGCTGTAAACCGAGCTTGGGTTCTTTGCAAGAGCCAGCAGTGGGGCACCAGCCATGTCCAGACAGCTTTTTTTTTTTTTCTTAGAGAGCTGGGGCTTTATGACCAGATTATTCACAGTTGTCTGTCTAGTGGAGGGGTGTATATAGTTATTCTTTCTACCTGTGTATGTAGGATCTCCCAACAGAAATCACTCTAGAATGAAAACTAGCCTTTTGAACTTTGAGTTAAAGTAGAAGGTCATAGGAAAGGGTCTTACATTTGTCTTCTTGTACAGGAAGGCATCAGTGTGAGAAATTAATCATGTGACCCAACTTTCTCCTTCCCTTTCCCTCCAGGGGTTTCATGATAAAGTTTTAGAAGACTGTAATACTGTCCTCAGTTTTAATGCAAATAATTGCAAGGCTCTGTACCGGAAGTCTAAGGCTCTGAGTGACTTAGGACACTACAAAGAGGCTTATGATGCTGTAGCACAGTGCTCCTTAGCAGTGCCTCAGGTATGGAATTTCTGAGTCAGTTCATTTGTTGCATCATGGGTATTTTGTTGCTCCCATGTGGAGAAATGGCATTTAAGAATTAAGTTTTCCATGTTTCAATCTTTAACCTGTTTCAGTTGATTGTAATGGCTAATAGAGCAAGTGTCCTGGTGGGAAGTGTCACAGCTGTTTGCCTTTTCCACTGTAAATATATTTATGTGTGTTGGTCTTTTTTTCAGGATGAACATGTAATAAAACTAACTCAAGAATTAGCTCAGAAATTGGGATTTAAAATAAGGAAAGCATATGTTAGAGCCAAGGTAAGCAGGGGTTCTCTCTGGAAGGTGTTTTCATTTTGCTTTATAACTTGGAGTCAGTTCTGTTTTAAAATAGTTTCTTTATTTTATTTCAGCTCTCACTGAAACCAGTTCCTGGGGATGGGGCTGCCAAGGTACCATTATTATCTGTGTTTCTTAGGAAAGGAGGGTTGGAAGACTTAGCAACTTTGCTTTTCATATTTTTAGTGTCTGTCTCTTTGATTCCTCAAACATGAAATTGGCCATGGCTTCCTGTCACTTAAGAAAACAAAACAAATCAAGTAATGTATTTTAGTCTTAGCCAGCATTTCCGCAGTCCAGTGGAGCATGTGACAGGATGTGAAGAGATGCTTGATTTTATTTGAAAACTGGGTTAAGACCAAGCACTAGTTTTGCGAGACATTGGGATTTTAAAAATGAATAAGTTAAATAATTTTTTTTTTTTATCTTTTTGAGACAGGGTCTCCCTGTAAGCCCCAGCTGGCCTGGCACTTGCTATGTAGATCAGGCTGGCCTTGAACTCATGGAGATCCGCCTGCCTCTGCCTCCTGAGTGCTGGGACTAAAGGCGTGTGCCACCATTCCAGGCAAAGTTAAATTTTTATTTTATTTTATTTTATTTTATTTTTGGTCTTTTTTGAGACAGGGTCTCCCTATAGCCTCAGCTTGCCTAGCACTATGTAGACCAGGCTGGCCTTGAACTCAGAGAGATCCACCTGTCTCTGCCTCCCAAGTGCTGGGATTAAAGGCGTGCACCACCACGCCCAGCTGCACAGTTAAAAAAAAATTTTTTTTTTGTCTTTTTTTGAGACAGGGTTTCCCTGTAGCCCCAGCTGTCCTGGACCTCACTATATAGACCAGGCTGGCCTCGAACTCACAAAGATCTGCCTGCCTCTGCCTCCCAAGGGCTGGCTGAGATTAAAGGCGTGTGCCACCACATCCAGCAAAGTTTAAAAGATTTTAAGAAAATTTATTTTAAAGTTTAAGTGACGTCTTCTTGGGGCTGTTAGGATGTTATTGGCTATTGTGAGGGGCTTTGGAAATGGTCGCTAGATTAATCCCCAATACTGTGCTAAATATCCTTTAAGAAATGATCTATTAGAAGTAAGTGGTGGTAGCACAGTGTGGTGGTACACTCCTGTAGTTCTAGCTACTTGGGATGCTGAGATAGGATTGTTTGAACCCTGGAGTGTTATACCAGCTAGGGCAATGTAGTGAGATCCTGCCTCAAAAGAAAAAAAAAAGGTAGGGTGTGGTAACTCAAAACTTTAATCCTAGTACTTGGGAGGCAGAGGCAGGCGGATCTCTGTGAGTTCAAGGCTAGCCTGGTCTACTTAGTGAGTTCCAGGACAGCTGGGGTTACTGGGAGACCCTGTCTCAAAAAGACCAAAAAAAATTTTTTTTAATAAAATGATTTAATAAAAGAAAAGCCAATCATCATGATACTTGTAATCCCAGCCCCCAGGATATAGAGGTAAGAAGACTGGAAGTTCAGGGTCATTCTTGGCCTTGGCTACATATTGAGTTTGAGGCCACTTTAGGATATATGATAACCTGTCTCAAGAAAGGAGAAGAAGAAATAAGTGATGCTAGTTTGATTATTCCTTTTATTTCTTGGATCTTAGTTGGGAGTCAAATTTTTATGCAACTCTACATCACGCCCTTAGGATGGTTTTATAGACTGTTTTATAGTTTATAATCCTGAAGACATGATTTACTGTGGTTTGATTTCTAGGCTGTGAACTATTCTGTGGAAGATATTGAGCCAGGTACGTTTTTACTTACCTTCACACTCTGAAATGTACCAGTTTGCCAGTTTTAGACTGCATGTATTATATAATATTGTCAAGTAAAATTAGTGTGTGATTATTAAAGCCCAACTATGATTGCTTTTATCTTTTTACCTAGATGTTCATGTCCTCTATTGGCCATTAATAATAGTATTGTGTAGGGGCTAGAGAGATGGCTCAGCAGTTAAAAACACTGGCTGTTCTTGTAGAAGACCCGGGTTCGAATCTCAGCACCTACATGGCAGCTAACAACTGTCCATAACTCCAGTTCCAGAGGATCTGACAGCCTTTTCCATCCTCCGTGGACATTGCCCGACATGGGTGCACTTACCTACATGCAGGCAATACATGCATACACATAAAATAAAATTAAAAAAAAAAACAAACACCCCAATACAGTGGCTTGGAGTGAATGCATTTCCATGTTTGTTACAGATTTGTTAACCCCAAGGCAAGAAGTATTTCCGGTTGTCTCCTTACCTACATCCAGTTTTTCTCATGACATTGGGAGTGAGCTGGCCTCAGTTTCTATTATGCCCTTAGCTTCTGTTTTGCAACTGCAAGTGGATGAGAGCTCTCTGCCATCCACAATGTTGGCAAATGGAGGGAAGATCCCCTTCACCATGCCAGAAGCTTTTCTAGATGATGGAGACATGGTCCTTGGGGATGAAATAGACGACCTCCTGGATTCTGCACCAGAAGCAAATGATGCTGTTTTGGTGAGTTTCACTATTTAGTTTCTCCCCTCCCCTCTTTCTCTCCATCTCTCTCTCTCTTTCTCTCCATCTCTCTTCCTCTCTTTCTTTTTCTCACTCTTTCTTCCTTTCTTCCCCTCCCTCCCTCCTTCGCTCCCTCTCTCCCTCTCTCCCTCCTTCACTATGTGACCCTGACTGGCCTGGAATTTGCTTTGCAGATCAGGCTGGCCTCAAATTCACAGAGATTCAACTGCCTCTGCCTCCTCATTGCTGGGATGTGAGGATCAGACTCAGATTGTTGGGCTTGGTGGCAAGTGCCTTGAGCCACTGAGCTGTCTCGATGCACCCTTCCCCCTTTTTAAACAAATACAAAAATAAACAAAAATGTGAATTCATGGCTAGGGATGTATCTTAGTTGTAGAGTACTTGGCTAGCATATATGAAGCCTGAGTTATATCTCCAGTACTTGATAGCACACACCTGCAATGCACTACTTGGGAGATAGAGACTGGAGGATTATAAGTTCAAGGTCATCCACGTAGTTTGAGGCCAACCTGAGCTACATGGGATCCTGTCTTTGAAAAAAAAAAACTAAGTTCAAAGTCTCTAATGAGACTCAGTCTCTCTCAAGACTCAGTCTCTCTCTCTCTCTCTCTCTCTCTCTCTCTCTCTCTCTCTCTTTCTCTCTCTCTCTCTTTTTTTTTTGTATTTTTGAGACAAGGTGTCCCTGCAGCCCCAGCTGTCCTGGAACTCACTATGTAGACCATGCTGGCCTTGAACTCACAGAGATCCCCCTGCCTCTGATTCCCTGAGTGCTGGGACCAAAGGCTTGTGCCACCACGCCTGAGAGACTCAGTCTCTTAGTTGTAGGCTGGTATTGGAGGAATCAGTCTGTCATGGTGGGGAGGGTGTGACGGCGCAGAGTAGCTCTCTTCATGGTGGGCCAAGAAACAGAGAAGGACATGCAGGATACCTCCCTGAAATGGTTCTAATGAATCTTGAATTGGATGTAAGCAGTGTTCCCTGACATGATCCCAAATGCAGTGATCTCTGATATGCTGCTGGTGAAAGCAGACTGGAGAAACTGCTGAGAGTGCTTCATGAATCTTGCTGCTGTTTCTTCTCTCTAGCCCTCAACTCTGGTCAGAGGACCCCTCCCAACAGCCAGTATGACTCCTAGCTTGCCCTTCACCACGACATCCCTGCTTGGAACCTTGCCTATTGGTGCGAGGTATGCTCCTCCACCCTCCTTTGCAGAGTTGTATCCTCCTCTGACCTCATCCTTGGAAGATTTTTGCTCTTCTTTAAATTCATTTTCAATGACTGAATCCAAAAGAGGTAAGACTTTCTCCTAAATTATTAAGAATTGCAGTTAATTTTCTAAAAATGAAAATGTATATGAAAGATTTTTTTTAACTGTCTCTAGGTTGTAGTTTCTTGAATTGTTTTCCCTGTGACTAAAATCTAAAAAGGGCAGCTTTGGGTTTGAACTCAGCCTGACTTTGCTGTTCTGCGAGCAAAGAGCAAGGGCATGAGGGGAGGCAAGGATGTGGCCCGAGTTTTAGATAATATGATTGGCTAAGTTGGTGTTAAGTGGGGTAAAATGACCTGGAATACATTCTGCAGTAAAAAAGTATCCCATCTTAAAGGATCTGAACTATTAAAACTTAACTTCACATCTGTGTTTAGCATGATAATGTTAGACCTGTTTGGGGCTTCATCTGCTGAGCTCAGCAACCTGTGCCCAGTATACTCATTTTATCAGGGAGTATTCCAACCAGTTTCTGTAAATCCAGGCTCAGTATTTTGATTTTGGTGTTTTGGTTTATTTTTCTGGAGCACTTGAGATGGAACCAGGGCCTTACACATACTAGGTGAAGTGAGCTATATCCCCAGCCCTTAGTCAATACTATAAACATAATGGTAAATCTTCATATTTTTTGAGACATTTTTACCCGACTAAAAAAGGACAAAAATATAAATGTTTCAAAGATTTACTATTGAAGAGATGAAAATACATGGGAGACAGAATGGCAGAGCGAAAATAATTGAGAGGTAGATGAAGTTGAGAAAGCACTTGAACCTGGTTCATGTTGATGTTACTTTGAGCTCCTGCATCTTATATGCAAAGAGGAGGCTCCTTTCTCATTTTGAGTGCAAATAATATTTTCTTAGGTTTTTAAAAATAGTCCCACTCTGTAGGCCTTGTCTTAGATCATTTCTTCAAAAATAACTTTCTATTTAAATATATGCAACTAAGGGTTATTTTTGCCCTTGGTTTCTAGTAAGGGAAAAAAACAAAACAAAACCCTAGAGTGCTCTTTGAATGTTGTTAATGAGCAAGAAAACTGTATGACTGGGCTGGGAAAAGACATGGGGAAGCCTTAGCCAGCCAGCTACTAAGCCCAGATGTGCTGATTCCATGATTAGAGTGAAAAGGTCTGTTGAAGTCTTTTTATTATTTTAGATCTGTCCACCTCAACTTCTAGAGAGGGAACAACGCTTAACAACAGTAATTCTTCCCTTTTACTTGTAAGTGCCACTTCCTCTTTTGTGAATACATCTCTTAAATTGAATGTAGGCCTGTACTTAAGTAACTAAATTATATGAGTAAACATGACAGTCTCCCTTACATTTTCTGTGTGCTTTGGGTAATAGTACTGTAAGAGTCATCAGAATATCCAGTAATAAATGCTCCCTGTTCTTTGTCAGTGAATCTGTGGAGCAAATTAATCACCACTGCAGACAGCACAAGTTTAGCCCTGCCTAACAAACATAAGAGCAGGGTGTGTCAGATTGTATCCTATAGAAGGAGAACACTTACATATTACTAGTAACAGCCCATAGAAGAGCAATAAAGGGGGCTCAGAGACCAAAGAGGAAAACGGAAAGAGTGTTTAATAGAGAAGCTTACTGGGATGCAATAGTGCTAGCCTTATCCCCTTGCCACAGGAATTCAGTTTCTTTCTTTAGTGATAGTACAATATTTGTTGCCTGTTTTGTTTTTGTTTTTTTGTTTTGTTTTGTTTTTTGTTTCTTATTCTTTTTGCAGATGAATGGACCAAGTAGTTTGTTTGCCTCTGAGAATTTCCTGGGAATTTCAAATCAGCCTAGAAATGACTTTGGAAACTTTTTTGGAAGTGTGATTGCTAAACCATCTTCCTCAGGGACTCCAAGGCATCCCCTCGAAGGAACCCATGAGCTGAGACAAGCTTGCCAGTCCTGCTTTGTTAAATCAGGTCAGGACCAAACCAGTGGGCTGTGAGATTAGAGTTCAGACCCTGGGATTTGTGAGGGCTTGTGACTGGATGGAAACAGCCCTGGCTCTGGCAGCTCTTCAGTCCCTACTTTGAAATGTTATGAAAGAAGCAGAATTTTTAACTTGGGGCGTTTGGAGTCTGATAGAATGAGTTGCAGCTCTTATTATATACAGCTTTATTTCCAGAATTATGTGGAATGAATAGGAATTTACCTGACCTTAGAAACTTAATGAAAACTATAAAATTCTTTACGTTCAAAGTATATGTTTAAGAACAGAATAATTCCAAATAGAACAAGAACTAGCACCAGGACCTGAATTTGATCCAGGACCATGTGAAAAAGCCAGTGTCAGTGGTATGTACTTGTAGCCTCAGCACTGGGGAGGTGAAGATAGGCAGACCTCTGGGGTGCACCAGCCAGCCCAGTCTACTTGGTGAGTTGCAGGCTAGTGAGGGACCTTGTTTCAAATAAAAAGGATGGGTGTGCTGAGAAATAACTCCTGAGATTGTCATATGGCCTCCAAGTGTACCTGCACACACATATGCATATGAACACATACACATATGTATGGGGGGAGGGGATGAGCCTGTGAGAGAGAGGTAGAAAAAAGCATTGGCGCCAGGCATAGTGGTGCACACCTTTAGTCCCAGCACTCTGGAAGGCAGGGGCAGGCAGATCTCTGTGAGTTTAAGGTCAGTCTGGTCTACTTAGTGAATTCCAGGCCAACCTGGGCTACAGGAAGACTTGTCTCAAAAAGACCCCCCAAAAAAGAAAAAAGCATTATAAGTCTAATATATGATGGGATATTTATGAAAATTATTTGTTCTTGATTAGTTTGAAATTAAGTAATTTTATTTATATTATTATTTTAAAGATAGAGTTTCACTTTGCATCACTGGCTACCCTATATCTTGTTATGTAACCCAGGCTAGCTGCAAACTTGGGGTCCTTCTGCCTCTGCCTCTTGAGTGCTCAGATTGTACACATGAGCTATCACACCCTGCTTTTTACTTTGAAAACAGTTTTTTTTTGTTTTGTTTTGTTTTGTTTTTGGTCTTTTTGAGACAGGGTCTCCCTATATTCCCAGCTGACCTGAACTCACTATGTAGACCAGGCTGGCCTTGAACTCACAACGATCGCCTGCCTCTGCTTCCCAAGTGCTGGGATTAAAGGCATGTACCACCATGCCCAGCTTGAAAACAGATTTTTGCTATGAAGCCCAAACTGGCCTTGAACTTGCTATGTATCCCAATTTGGCTTTGAACTTGTGATCCTCCTGCCTCAATCTCTCTGGTGCTTAGATTACACTCAGAAACTACTACGCCCTGCCTAATTTTGCAGATCTTACTTGCAGTTCAAGAATCAGACAGTACCTGGACCATAAGTGGTTCAGACTGCCACCTGTTTTTACTCTTATAAGGCTATTAGAATTCCTATCCAAATTATTTCCCTAGTAGATAAGTACAGGTATGTTTTGACAGGACTGCTGTTGAAAGAACTTTGTATCACCTAATACATGGCATAAAAGGCACAAATTTCCTTTAGTAGCTTGTTTACGGTTTTGATGAGATTTGAGGGTTAATGGCAGTCAATGTTCACCTGTGCATGTCTGCTTATAAATTGCTTATAAAATTAAATGGTATATTTTTCTGCCTATGAACAATCCTCTTTATATCTTTTTCAGGCCCTAAGTTAATGGATTTCACTTACCATGCTAATATAGATCATAAATGTAAGAAAGATATTTTAATTGGTAGGATAAAGAACGTTGAAGATAAATCATGGAAAAAAATACGTCCAAGACCAACAAAAACAAATTATGAAGGACCATATTATATATGTAAAGGTATAGATTATAATTATTTAATTGGTGTATATGACATGACTAGTAAACTTTTTGCAAGACAGCTCTGCTAAGCATGATACCTTATCACCTCTGCTTCTGTTCCTTGAATTGGACATATTTTCTCTACTATTTTTGCTTTTTTTAAAAATACCTTCTTTATGTTTCATAGCTGTTTATGGAGACAGAAACTTGATCAAGTTTTAAGTAGGGAACTCTCAAACTTTTAAGTTTAATCTACATAGAATCACAACTCTGGACTAAAACTTTAAATATGCTGCTGTATTTAAAATGCTTTTGAAAGAGCTTTGCATTTTTCTTTTTGTTAAACTGCTTCATCTGAAAGCACTTTGAAACCTGCTAAGATGATTTTTTTTTGATGACTACATTCGTTGTACATTTCATTGCGATATTTTCATATGTATGTGACATACACTTTGGTCATATTTTCTCATTATTTTCTTGTTCCTCTTTCCTCATAAAAAGATTGTTTTGACCTTGATGGAATACATGAGAATATCTAGGCATCTTCTCTGTGTGCAGTGAAAACCATCTGGGTTTGAACATTTATTCCACCCACTCCTGCATAGTAATAACTATCATTGTTTGAAGCTATGAATTATTATAAAATTCAAGCAATGTCCCAAGTGTGATTGAATATTCATTGGCTTTGGGGAAAACAGCTGTCTCTTTTTCATCTGCCTTTCCAGATGTTGCTGCGGAGGAGGAATGTCGCTATTCTGGCCACTGTACATTTGCTTATTGCCAAGAAGAGATAGATGTGTGGACCCTGGAAAGAAAAGGGGCATTCAGTCGAGAGGCTTTCTTTGGTGGCAATGGAAAAATCAACCTCACTGTAGTCAAACTTCTCCAAGAACATCTTGGAGAATTTACATTTCTTTGTGAGGTGCTTTCTCCATGACTTATTTTCTGGTGTAAACATTTGGTGATAGTGCTGAGATAATGCAACTAAGTGGAGAGCACTTGCCCAACATGCACAGGGGCACTGTTTTAAAAACAATTATGGACCATGTGGTAGTGTACACCTTTAATCCCAGCACTTGGGAGGCAGAGTCAGGCCAATCTTTGTGAGACTGAAGGCAGTCTGGTCTACATAGTAAGTTCCAGGACAGCTGGAGCTACAGAAACACCCTGTCTCAAAAACAAAACAACCCCAAAACAAAACAAAATTGTGGCCAGGCATGGTGGTACATACCTTTAATCCCAGCACTTAGTAGGCAAAGGCAAGTGGATCTCTGTAAGTTCAAGGTGATCCTGGCCTACACAGTGAGTTCTAGCCTAAGCTAGGGCTACAGAATTAGACCCTGTCTCAAAAAAAAAAAAAAACTTTCTGATTTCCAAGCTGTGTAGTGTAAAGCACTTGGCAGATGCTGCTTTATGGTTAAAGCATCCACTCAGTGAACAGTAGACCCTGCTGTCATGAAAGTACAGGAGTAGAGCCAGGCCTAGTGGTGCAGGCCTGTAATGTCAGCACCTAAGAGGCGGCAGCAGGAGGGTCACCACAAATTAAAGCGAGCCTGGGCTATATAGAGATCTTGTCTCAAAAAGTCAAAATAGAAGAATGCAGAAGAGTAGCAAAATGTCATGCTTTATATTTATTGACACAGTGTAAAGTGCATAAGTTTGTAAACATACTGAAACTAAGGCAATATGCTAGGCAAAAAATTCAGACCTTTATTTATGTGATAATACTTCTTTTTCTCTGTTCCAGAAATGTTTTGATCATAAACCTAGAATGATAAGTAAAAGAAATAAAGACAATTCCACTGCTTGTTCTCACCCGGTTACAAAGCATGAATTTGAAGACAATAAGTATGTTGATGGTTTCTAATTTTTATAATGATGAAATAGGTTTTCTTAGATCCAAAGGAATGCAGTAGTAGGGCCAGGCATGGTGATGTGCTCTTTTAATCCCAGCACTTGGAGACAGGCAGGTGGATCTCTGTGAATTCCAGGCCAGCCTGGTCAATATAGTGAGATCCCATCTCAAAGCAAAGCAAACAAAAAAACAGTAGTAGGCACCCCCTCCCCGCCGCTTTAAGAAATGACTATTTTAAATATGTCTTTTAGCTGGGTGTGGTAGCACATGCCTATAATCCCAGCACTTGGGGCAGGTGGGTTACCACAAATTTGAGTTCTACCTGGTCTGCATAACAAGTTCTAGACCAGCCAAAGTTACATAGTGAGACCCTATCTCAAAAAGCAAGAGTGGGCCAGTATGATGGCTAATGGGTAAAGGCACTTGATACCAAGCCTGATGACCTGAGTATTATCTCCAGGACCACCATGGTAGAACAACAGAAGTGACTAGCAGGTTGTCTTCTGACTCCTACATGTGTACAATAGCACATGCATGTGTGTACATGTGTACACACAAAGTATAGAATTGAATCTAGCATGTTGCATGTACATATACATACATATAAAATAAATGTAATAGAAAAAGCAAAAAAGTTTAAAAAATAAAATCTGTTTTTGCCCATTTGACTGAGACTTAAACAATGAATTATTAAATTGTTTATTTAAAACAAAAAGCACAGCTGGGCATGGTAGTGCACTCCTTTAGTCCCAGCACTTGGGAGGCAGAGGCAAGCAGATCTCTATGAGATTGAGGCCAGTCTGGTCTATATAGCAAGTGCCAGGCCAGCTGGGGCAACAGGGAGACCCTGTCTCAAAAAGACAAAAAAAAAGAAAAAGAAAAAACTCAAAAAGCACATAAATTTATGGCTTTTTATAATGTGGATTTAGATTTTTTTGGTTTAAAATGTAATTATCCTGCATTAACTTATACCACAGTAGCCCAACTCTTGCATATAGCAAATTTTTTTCTTCTGACAAGGATTTATTAATACAGTGACTTCTAGCCAGGTGTGGTGGCACATACCTTTATTCCCAGCACTCTGGAGGCACAGGCAGATGAGCTCTATGAGTTTGAAGCCAGTCTGGTCTATATAGCAAGTTCTATGCCAGGCAGGGCCTACATAGTAAGATCCTATCTCAAAAAAAAAGCTTTTCGCCAGGCATGGTGGCTCACACCTTTAATCCCAGCACTGGGGAGGCAGAGGCAGGTGGATCTCTTGAGTTCAAGGCCAGCCTGGTCTACATAGTGAGTTCCAGGCAAGCTGGGGCTACAGGAGACCCTGTCTTAAAAAAAAAAAAAAAAAGCTTCTCAGACTAGAACGTGGCATTATATATGTGTACATGTCTCTATGCATATTTTAAAACTATGATAGAGCAATATTAAAATGTTACGTCTTTTCATCTTAGGTGCCTTGTCCACATTTTGCGAGAGACCACAGTAAAATATTCCAAAATACGCTCTTTTCATAGCCAGTGTCAGCTTGATCTATGTCGACATGAAGTTCGCTATGGCTGCTTAAGGGAAGATGAGTGCTTCTATGCCCATAGCCTTGTTGAACTGAAAGTCTGGATATTGCAAAATGAAACAGGTGGGTCTTTGTGGGCCTGAAACTGTGTCCCTGTTAGAGAAGTCAGGACATGAGGAACAGTAGTATGGACACCCACCCTTTTCAGACAGCTAACATGGCAATTGTTCATTTTGTCTTAAGCATTAAATTATGTAGTCTTGGGCCAGCAAGATGACTTAGTATGTAAAGGTACTTGCTGCCAAGCCTCATGACCTGAGATTCCTCCTTGGAGACCACATAGTGGGAGGAGAGAATTAACTCCCACAAGTTGTCCACTGACCTCTACATGTACGCCATGGTATGCATGTGCATGCGTGCATGTGTGTGTGTGTACACACGCACAATAAATAAATGTAATAAAAAATTTAAACTGTGTAGTTCCACCTCACCCCTCCAACCCTGGTATTAGGTATTATTGAACCTAGGACCTCGTGCAAGGCCAAGAGCCCTACCACTGAGCTGTGTATCCAGTTTTCTTTTTACTTTTTGTTTTAAGATAGCTTATCACTAAGATGCCCAGGCTGGCTTTGAACTTTTTTTTTTTTTTTTTATTCGTTGATTTTTTTTTTCTTTTTTGGTCTTTTTGAGACAGGGTCTTCCTGTAGCCCCAGCTGTCCTGGAACTCACTATGTAGACCAGGCTGGCCTTGAATTCACAGAGATCCGCCTGCCTCTGCCTCCCAAGTGCTGGGATTAAAGGCGTGCGCCACCATGCCCGGCTGGCTTTGAATTTTTTTTTAACCCAGCTGAGCTTGAACTTGGGGTCCACCTACCTCAGCCTTCTGAGTAGCTAGGATTTACAGGCCTGGGCCACCACACTTGGCTGCTGTATCATCTTTGATTTAAAGTGTGGTCTCCTGCAAATAATTGTTAATATATCTTTGTACTTGTAACATGGATTTTGAGAGTGGGGAAAGGATTCCTCAGAAGGTAGAAAGAATTGTGTTTGTAAACACTGTATATTGATGATAGATTCAGCTGCCTGAGAATGACTGGGGAGTTAAGGGTTCTCTGAGTCTGAAAAACCAAATCAATGGGCTTCTGTGATGTGTTCTTTTAAGAAAAGGCATGTGCATTTCCTAGGTATCTCACACGATGATATTGCTCAAGAATCTAAACAATATTGGAGAAATTTGGAAGCAAGCATGCCTGGAGTTCAGGTATTCTCCTGTGTGCTCATGCATTTTATGTCTTCTGAGTGGCCTGGTGGGTGCTGGTGATAAATGGAAGGACTATTCATTTAGTGGAGTAACTCTTCTGTGAGAAAAATTTGCATTTTGCTTGATCACCATTTTAAAAAAATACTGGTGTCATAGGCTGGGCCTGGTGGCACACATTTTTAATCCCAACACTCAGTAGGCAGAGATAGGTGGATCTCTGTGAGTTCGAGGCCAGCCTGGTCTATAGACTGAGTCCTGGGCCAGTCAGGGCTATATAATGAGATCATGTCTCAAAAAACAAAACAAATAGCAACCCAAAAAATTGGTGTCCTGCAATATCTACCAACAATATAGGATACTGTTTTCCTATCTATCTTAATTGGCAAAACAGTAGGTCTTGGGCTTTTGGCAATTCTTAGAATAAGGGAGGTGCATTATGTTTAGAGTTTTGCTTCCCACTGGTATAACTATCCAACCTTCTCCCAAACCACCTAAAAACCACATGGTTCCAGTTATCAGTTCTAAAAGCTGGCTTTTCTCAGTTGAGGTTTGGGGTCTGAAATCGGTTTTTATTAGAATCTTGCATATGACAGACAACAGAGATTTAATTATTAGAGTGTTATGTGTCAAGTCATGTAATCAGATAAACTATTGTGGCAAACAGTACATGGTGATTTAGTATGCTGCTCTTAGAAAAGTGGCTTCTGTTGTAATTGATCTTTTAATTGTTTAAGGTACTTGGCAATCAAATAATGCCTGGATTTCTTAATATGGAGATAAAATTTGTGTGTGCTCAGTGTCTGAGACATGGTCAAGTCATTGAACCAGACAAAAACAGAAAATATTGTAGTGCAAAAGCACAGCATTCGTAAGTATTGTGTGTGTGTGTGCAAAGCTACTTGTCATGTTTCATAACATAAAGTCATACATGTGTGAAAAAGAAACCAAGACTTTGAAAAGTAGATAATTCAGATGTAATACAAAATAAAAAGGAAGAGGCCTTTTAGGATCTAGTAGCTGGATTTCATAGGTAGTGGGTTTTTTTTCTGTTTTAGTAGTTTCTTTGTTTAGAATTCATAGTGAAACCTGCTAAATGTCAAGAGGAAATGAAACAGTGGGCTGGCAAGACATCTGTGTTAAAGTGTTGACAAGAGCTCTGCTCCTTCAGGTGTAATGCTGTGCTTCTCCCTTAAGTCATGCTGCTTCTTTGTGTTATGCCTGTTGCCGGAATGTCTTGTTTTTCTGAACTCCATTTTTCTTAGGTGGACCAAAGATCGTCGTGCAATGAGAGCGATGTCTTTTGAACGTAAGAAGTGGATGAACATCCGTCCTCTCCCCACAAAGAAACAAATGCCTTTACAGTTTGATGTACATACGTAATTTTTAAGCTACTTTTTAAAAAATTAGGCATTTCAATTCACTAGAAAGTAATGGTAGTTCAGCCTGAAGCTCAAGCCCTTTAAGTACTGCTCATGAGTTATAATGAAACTGAAGCTATTCCTCTTTTTCCTTCCTCCTTGGTGTATGTGCATGATTCTCTAACAGTTTTCATATTGATTGGTATTTTATGGGTTACTAGATAACCAGAATTGAGAATAAGTTATGGGCATAATTTATTTTTTCAAAAAATTTATTTTTGGAACAGAATAAGATAATATCATTTAACTTTGTTTTCCTTGGGTTTGATATCATATTCAGGGTATTATCAGGAATGGTATTGATAGTTTTGGTCTTTAAAATTTTTTTATTTTATGTTTATGAGTTTATGCCTGCATGTATGTAAGTGCACCCATGTTGTGCAGTGTCCATGGAGGACAGAAAAAAGTGTCGCACTCTCCTGGAACTGGAGTTAGGGATGATTGATAGCTGCCACATGGGTGCTAGGATTTGGACCCAGGTTTTCAGCAAGAACAGCCAGTGCTCTTAACTACTGAGCCATGTCTCCAGTTCTGGTTTTGGTCTTTTTTTAGTTGTACTTTGTTTCACTGCAACAAGGGATACAAGCTAAAAGACACTGAAAGTCTAGAACTTCCTAAAAGTAGCCCAGAAGAAAATATCACTGAGAGGTACATATATGCTCTTCCAAACCCCTTGAGATGAAAATACCAGACCAGCTTAAATTGAGGATAACAATTCACTTATGCAGAAGCACCTCATGTCTGGGGAGGGCCTTAAGAGGCCATGGCAGTGACTGAGCAGATCTCTTTAGTTGTCTGTGGACTTTGTTCTTGACAAGAGAGGGACTAAATGGCTGGGCGTGGTGGCACACACCTTTAGCCCCAGCACTTGGAAAGCAGAGGCAAGTGGATCTCTGTGAGTTCAAGGCCATCCTGGTCTACATAGCAGTTGCAGGCCAATCAGGGCTACACAGATACCCTGTCTCCAGAAGGGAAAAAAGGAAAAAAAGTCTGAGTAGACTCCAGAGATACTTTACTGTGTGGCTTAATTCATAGGGACAAGTGGAAGACTGACCAGAAGTATCCCCCAGAGGAAGTATGGAGATTATATTTTGTCAGAGAAGGAGGGCACGTGAACCCAGAGTCTGCTTGTAATGAGCTGCCCTCTCTGTGGCTAAGAAGAGTCAAGGAAGGAGATGAATTTCTCACTACCTGCTTGCCTTGCAGCTTTATAAAGCTTAGTTCAAGTCACATGCCCAGTCTTTGCAAGGTTGATCTTATTATTTTTTTTTTAATCCAAAGTGGTATTAGACTCAGGTTTTATAGGAAAAGAAAAGAGGTTTATTTGAACTATGACATCTTGGGTTTAAAATGTGAGGACATATGTGTAGTAAGGACTTGGCTAAAACGGGCAGCAGGGCTGGGCTTTGCTCAGTAGTAGAGGATTTATCTAGCATGTGTGCGGTCCTGGATGCAATCTTCAGCATTGCCAAAAAAAAAAAAAAAAAAAAAAAAAGGAGAGAGAGATAACAAACAACCATTCTAGTTCATGAGGCAGCTGCCTAGGACCATTGATTTTTCTTTAACTTTGCATGTGGTAAGCTCCCAGGTAACATTTCACATTTCAGTAGTTTATTTCTTCTTCTTTTTTTCCCCAGCCATAGTAGGTATTGCTAAGGGTCCTTTTCTTTCTTTTTTTCTTTTTGATTTATTTATTTTTATTTAATGTGTATGAGTGTTTTGCCTGTATCTGTTAAGTGCACCACATGCATGCAATGCCCATAGTGCCAGAAGAGGGCATTGTATCCCCTGGAACTGGAATTAGAGATGGTTGTCAGCCTCCATGTGGGTGCTGGGAATCAAACCCAGGTCCTCTGCAAGAACAGCCAGTACTCTTAACCTCTGAGCCATCTCTCCAGGCCATCATTTGCTTATCTGTAAAAATGGGACTCGTGCCATAGGGATATCATGCCACGGTATTCTGTAAAACCCAGTATGATGCCTAGTTTTGTCCAGTGTATTTTTCCCTGCTCCTTATCCTTGAGCTTTGAAAGACTGCGGAAAAGCCAGGCATGGTGGCTCATATCTGTAACTCTAACATTGGGAAGGCAGAGGCTAGAGAGTCACCACAAGTTCCAGGACAGTCTGGTCTACATAGTAAGTTCTAGACCAGCCAGGGCTACATAGGTACACCCTGTTGCAGAGTTGCAAAAGGAAAACAAAAAGAGTGACGTCATGTGGGTTTTTAGGTGGAGGTCACCAATGTCCATTTTAGGAGAAAATGTGCAGAACTGAAGGCTGGGAGTGTGGAGAGTTTTACAGAAGCAGATGGTGAGCAGTTATGGAAGCTAAGTAGTGTATGGGGCCAATTCCTGATGAAGCACAACCTCAGCTAAGTTAGCAATTAAGTGCACTGGGATTTGTGCTATATCAAAACCAGTTAGTTGAGGCCAGGTGTGGTGGTGCACACCTTTAATTCTAGCACTCAGGAGGCAAAGGCAGGTGGATCTCTATGAGATGGAGGCCAGCCTGGTCTACATAGCAAGATCTAGGCCAACTGGGACTATAAAGGAGGGAGACGCTTTTTCAATCAAAACAAAATAAAAACCAGTCAGTTGGCAAGACCTAAGAATGAGCTTTTTGGTTTTCTTTGGTTTTATTTTTATTGTTCTGATTGACTGATTTTTATTTTATGTGTATGAGTGTTTTGCCTGTATATATGTAAGTCCACCTGTGTCGTGCAATACCCAGGAGACCAGAAGAGTGCATTGAAGCCTCTGGAACTACAGTTGTAGGCAGTTGTTAATCACCATGTGGGTTCTGCAAGAGCAGCCAGTGCTCTTAACTGCTGAACCATCTCTCCAGGGCAGATTCATGATTCTTAGGAAAACCTATATTCTGCTGCTTGCTGTCACTTCATTTTCCTGTACATATCATCCTATTTCCATTATTAAATAAAATTCCAAATAACCAGAAGAGGTGCTGTTTGAAAGTTCTCTACCTCCACGACCTGATTAGTATAGTGGGTGTTTTCAGATAACACGGATTTAGTGCATTGTGGCTTAGGTTAGCCATCAGTCTTGGGCATTAGTACCTTAAGTCTAGGAAGTGTTCCTGGCACTGTCTAGTAACCTCTGGAACAAGCTTCAGTCTCCTTGCTGTTTCTCAAGTACTGACTTGGACTCATGGTGAATATTATGGGGAGAGAGTAGTAGCCATATGACAGAGACAGCACCAGATGTTTACTGCAGAGATGAAATGGACTTTGTAGGAAGTGCTCTGTACTCCTTAATTCTGTACTTTACTGTCTTTAGGAAAATTTCTTTTGCAGTTTTTTGAAGTAGAAATGTTGGTTTTCATTATTTCCAGTAGTTTGGGCTGATGATCAATTTGAATAGAATCAAATCAATCTTTAAAACTTTATTGCTAAGCATTAGCACTAATAATAAGTCTTATTTTGCTTAAATGTAAAAACTTAAAGCATGCTCTGAAAGTATGCGTCCATTTTTTTTTCCCCACACAGCTATGCAACCATATTGCTTCTGGGAAAAAATGTCAATATGTTGGGAACTGTTCATTTGCTCATAGCCCTGAGGAACGAGAAGTGTGGACTTACATGAAGGATAATGGGAGTAAGTTCATGTTCTCTTTCCTGAAAGCCCCTTTCTGTGAGCACAGAAAACAGTTTGCAGTTTCATCAGAAGACCTGTCGATGATGGTGGCCTCAGCCTCAACTTGGACCCTGATGACTGATGTGGATTTTGTTAGGCAGATTAGGGTGTGAATCTATAGCTCTACATCCTTGGGTATAATATACACACTCCTAAAAAGTGGTCTGGAAGGCTCAGTTTCTCCATGAACTTAAACATTGTCACCTTTGTGGTGACCCACCAGGTAGATGGAGTTTGCTTCAGGGCCTTCTTACTGGGAGAACAAGGCCAGATTCAGAGGACCAAGGAGAAAGTGTTTGTCTCGCTCAAGTCTCAGGTTTATTATGATGCCTTTGAGAGGAGCTGCAGACAGCCTTTTACTTTTGACCTTAACTATTTTACTATAAGAATCATTGCTGTTTTAATTTTAAATAAACTAATGAAGATTCATGCCTGCACACCCTGGAGTTCAAGAATTACCCAGAGTCAAGGCTGACCTGTCATGTGATTTGCGTGAAAGAGACTATCTCTTGCTGTTCTGCTTGGGGTAGGGCATACACTCGGGCCTTGTTGAGAGTCTCCTGGCTTCACCAAAGTTTTTAACATGACTCCTGTTGCCAAGGTCTTGAGGAAGTCTCCAGTTTTATTTTCCGTCTCTGCCTCATGATCTAGTGTTCAAAACCTTCAGGTATACCACAAGGCTAAGTTTAGACTAGATCCTTATTACCAGTGGGTTTTTTTTTTAAACCAGTATTTTGAGGGGACTGAAGAGATGGTTCAGTGGTTAAGAGTATTGGCTGCTCTTTCAGAGGACCTGGGTTCAGTTCCCAGCACCCACATGGTGGCTAACAACAGTCTGCAACTACAGTTCCATGGGATCCAGTGCCCTCTTCTGACCTCTGCAGGCATTGCATACCCCAGGTGCACTTACATACATGCAGATGAAACGTTCACACACATAAAACAAAAACATAAATAATAAATATTTTGAACCAGCGTTTTTTTTTTTGTTTTGGTTTTTTTTTTTGTTTTTTTTGGTCTTTTTGAGACAGGGTCTCCCTGTAGCCCCAGCTGTCCTGGAACTCACTATGTAGACAAGGCTGGCCTTGAACTCACAGAGATCCGCCTGTCTCTGCTAGGATTAAAGGCGTGCGCCACCACGCCGGGCTCTTGTACCAGCGTTTTTAACACTGATTCTTAACTGGGAACACATTTTGCTGCACAGCCTTCCTTCTGTGGGAACATCTTGCCCTGTCTGTAGACATTTTGATGATTGTGACTATAGGGAAATGTGCTACTGACTTCTAGGTGGCAGAATTCAGGGATGCTGCTAAGCATTCTGAAATGCACAAGATAGCTGCTGCCTATGAAAGTTTATCCAGCCAGAAGTGAGCAGAGCTGGGTTTAGGAAACCTTGAGCTTAGCACTTGACAGTAATGCAGAATACACCTGTTCTTACCTAGGATCCAGCCCACAACCACTGCCCAGGACCTGGTTACAGTGGTACTGTACACTGCACCCCAGCATGTTGGTCCTTTAGAACTGTGGTTTGTTTGATGGGGTCCCATTAGGGACAGAGTCTTGCTCTAGTAGTGGGATTTCCCATCTTTCTTGATGACTAAGGTATATGTCAGCTGACAACTCCTACATCCTGTACGGTCCTCCTGTGGTTTATGACTCTGGTGGAGTATGGAGTATAGGGTGACCTGAATCAGTGCCAAGGGCCTTATGATTGTTCCCAAGGTGTTTTAAACATCTCCAAAGTGTCTTGCAAATGCAGGAAAGAGTAAACAGTGAAACTAATGTGTGTGGTCTCTTAGTCCTGCAATTGGTTCTTTTGCATGAAAGTTTGTCTGCTGCATAGACTGGTTTGCTCTCTTCCATGTCTAATATAATCAGTCTGTCTCTTTGTTTTGAAAATGTATGCTCACTGATATGAAAAATGCATGCTTTATGCGTGTATTTGAATGGCATTTCATGATTGTTGCTGAATGCAATTCATTTGTCTTTAGTACAAGATATGGAACAATTTTATGAACTCTGGCTAAAGAGTCAAAAAAGTGAAAAAAGTGATGATGTAGCCAGTCAGTCAAACAAAGAAAATGGGAAACAAATTCACATGCCAACAGATTATGCTGAAGTTACCGTAAGTACTGTTGCTCACCTTACCATGCCTCTTGCCTTGGAGCTGCCTGTGGAGCCTTTTCTTTTCCCTCCTCCAAAACCTGGCTCTTTCTGCATTCCCTCTACCTCTAGTGTCTTATTTCTTCTCTGCTTTCTTGCCATTAGCTGGTGTTCTCATGCTGAAGCATTCTTGCCTGAATCCTTAATTTCAAAAAAGTGAAGGAGCTGGGCCAGGACTGCAGCTCATTGGTAGAGTGCTGTGCTTAGCATGCACAAAGCCCTGGGTTCATTCCCCAGTACCACAGAAACAGGGTATGGTGGTGCATGCCTGTAACCTCAGCACTCTTGGAGGTGGAGACAGGAGGCTCAGAAGTTCAAGATTATCCTTGGCTACCTGGCAAATTGGAACCTGTCTCAAAATTCAAAGAAAAAATATATTTTATTTTTTGAGACAAGCTGAAGTCCCAGCTGGCCTGGAACTTCCTATGTAGATCAGGCTAGCCTCTATCTCACAGAGATCCACCTGCCTCTGCCTCTGGAGTGCTGGGATTGAAGGCATGTGCTACCAGGCCTGGCAAAGAAAAAAAAATTTTTTTTGGTCTTTTATTGAAATGGGCTCCCTGTAGTTCCAGTTGGCCTGGAACTCACTATGAAGACCAGGCTGGCCTCGAACTCACAGAGATCCGCCTGCCTTTGCCTCCCAAGTGCTGGGACTAAAGACATGTGCCACCACACCCAGCCAAAGAAAAAATAAAGTATGAATGGCTTGAGCCTAAGACTCCAGGTTAACTGATGTGAACACTTGTGTTTGTGTCTGTAAAGTAAATGAAGCACAGCAGATAGAGTTGGAAATACAGCTGTTCTTCCCAGAGAAACCAGATCCAATGTGTATTTTTCTAAGCTATGTTTATGTGTCTGACTGTTATTCTGTATTAGCCTCCAGAGCACTGGGATTGAACCACCAAACCTGGCTATTAATGTGTATTCATCTGTAGTCCTGCCTGGAGTGTTTTAAACCTTTGCTGTGAGTGTGTGCTCTTTGCTGCCACTTGTTTCTTGCTTTATTTGTTGCATCTCACCATAGTGATTGAGTCAGACCCATGTCAATTGTCCACTGCAAGGCTTGTGTATGGTCTAGCCTTGTGTGTGGTCTAGCCTTGTGTGTCTCTGCCCAGGACATGTGGGGAACTCTCCCTGACACTTAGAGTTTGAATCTCTCAAGCACTTTAGTCCTGCCATGAGCTCTGTCTCCTATAGGGCTGGCATCTTTACTTCCTGGGTACCTGGTGTAAGCCTGGCCATACTTGGGGTTCAGTTCATGTGTGGAGCTGCTGCTAGTCTTTCTGGAGCTGGCCTAGGTGTTACTTCTGCCCAGAACCCTTAACTGCCTCTCAACAAATGGCCTTGTATGTATAGCAGCTTTTCTGGCCTCCTTGCCGGAACTTACTGGATGCCTGCAAGATCCGTCCATTTCTCTACTTCCTGTGTGTTACTTTGTGTCCGAATACTGTGGTCTTAATGTGATCCTACTTATGATTTTGGGTTTTATTTCCCTACCTGGCTTCTCCAGGGTCCGGCCAGGGTCTTGGCTGAGGTGGCATCCTGAGGTGGGAGACAGGCAGCACATACCTTTTTGTACACTGTAGGTGGACTTTCACTGCTGGATGTGTGGGAAGAACTGTAACAGCGAGAAGCAGTGGCAAGGCCACATCTCTTCTGAAAAGCACAAGGAGAAGGTTTTCCACACCGAAGATGACCAGTACTGCTGGCAGCACCGCTTCCCCACGGGATACTTTAATATTTGTGAGAGGTATGTAGGCCCGTGCACTTTCTCCATGTTAGTCTTAGTGATCCCATGGGGCTTCCATGGGCATTGTGTCTGTTGACAGAATAAGTTGTGAATGGTAAGAACTGGAGAGATGGCTCAGTGGTTAAGAGCACATACTGCTTTTGCAAAGGACCTGGGTTTGATTCCCAGAACCCACATCAGGTGGCTCACAACCACCTGTAATTCCAGTTCCAGGGGATCTGATGCCTTCTTCTGGCCTCCATAGGCACCTGCATTCATGTGACACATACAAAACATATGTAGCCTCACACACATATACATAAATAAAATAAATCTGAAAAATCAATGGATAAGAGCACTGGCTGCTCTTGCAGAGGACGGGGGTTTGGTTTCCAGCACTCACATGGTGGCTAACAGCCATTCATAACTCCAGTTTCAGGGGATCAACACCCTCTTATGGTCTCCATGGGCATTGCATACATATGGCACACTTATATGCAGGCAAAACACATATATAAAATTCTTCAAAAAAAAAAAAGATGTGTGTAATAGAGTTTTGTGATGGTACTGTGCTCTGGTGACCCTGGTACTGTGCTCTGGTGACCCCTGGAGGTCTATGTAGGTATTGCCTCGGGATCTTCAGTTGCTTACTGCATAAGTCTTCACATTTCTGGGCTCATATGACAAGATTCCCTGTCCTCCAAGACCAACTTGAGTGGTCTCAAGATGATTGGTTAGAATTTACTCATTCAAACTCACCCTTTGGGATCTTTGGGTTCTCAGCTGTGATTCTTGGATCTTTTGCCACAGTCTTTGCTCACAGTAGATAGTCATCAAATTAGAGATGACCTTTAAGTTACCTTTTAAGGGTAAAGCTAGAAAATAGTAGCATAATCATATCACTCCTTTGTCTTTTTAGAGAGTTTTTAAGTGAAAATTGGGTATAGTGGTTCATGTCTATAATCCTAGGAACAGGAAGCAGAGGCAAGGGGATTATTACAAGTTTGAGGCTAGCTTGACTACAGAGTGTCTCAGTGAAAGCAATTACCTAAATGAATAAAACGAGATAATTTTGAATGGGTTTATGTGTGTGTGTTTTGAGACTGGGTCTCCCTGTAGTCCCAGCTGGCCTGGAACTCACAGAGATCCGCCTGCCTCTGTCTCCCAAGTTGCTGGGATTAAAGGCATGTGCCAACATGCCCAGCTTGACTAATTACTCATTTTTAAAAAATCACTAGTTATACTTTCTTTTTCTTTTTTTTTAATTTTTAAAAAATTTATTACTTTTTTTTATGTGTATGTGTGTATTGCCTGCAATGTAGGTAAGTTCACCCGCGTCGTGCAATGCCCGTGGAGGTCAGAGGAGACTGTCAGATCCCCTGGGACTGGAGTTACAGACAGTTGTTAGCTGCCATGTGGGTTCTGGGATTTGAACCCTGGTCTTCTGCAAGAACAACCAGTGTTCTTAACCGCTGAGCCATCTCTCCAGCCCATATACTTCATTTCTAAACTTTGAGCCATGGGGACTGGGGATGAGCTCAGTGACATATTGTTTGCTTAGTGTTCACAAATTCCAGATCTCAAAAAAACAAAAACCACTAAACCTTGTCTGACAGATTTAGAGTCATGAGATCTTTTTAACCTATTGCTGCTTTTGATGTCTTTCCAATGCATCAAGAATTACCTTCCCTCCCTGCCCTCGGGCTGGGAGATGGCTCAGCAGGTAAGAGCACTTTGTACACCAGCTGGAGGACCTGAATTCAAACCCTCAGAACACATGTTTGAAATAGGCATGATTGCAGATGGGAGGGGTGGAGACCGGAAGCTCACTGGGGCTTCCTGGCCACCACCCTAGCTTAGGTTCAGTGGGAAGCCTTGAGTCAAGGGAGTAAGGTGGGGAGTGATAGATCAGGACACCCAGTAGTCCTCCTCTGGCCACCATATACTGGGGAAGAGCTGTACCACTGAGGTACATCCTCAGCCCTAGTCAGTGCTTTTCACTGAATACTTTTAAATGGATTACAGTACTAATTTTCCTGTTGTGTATATCTTGCCTGTAAAACATTTATTTCACAGGCTTAAGCTTCCTAACTGGGTCTGAGATCTAATTTGCTGGTTGGGAGGCAGGATGCCCTGTGTTTTACACAGCACCAAAAAAAGGGTAAATTATTTTTGCCGGGCATGGTAGTGCACGCATTTAGTCCCAGCACTTGGGAGGCAGAGGCAGGTGGATCTTTGTGAGTTCAAGGCCAGCCTGGTCTACATAGTGAGTTCAGGTCAGCTGGGGCTACAGAGAGACCCTATCTCAAAAAGACAAAAAAAAAAAACAACATTATTTTTGTGACTGCAGAAGGTGCATGCAGGTCAGTCACACAGCTAGGGAAGTATCTCTTTTTCAAGAAGCATGACTGTATTTTTCTGTCTCATGGATGCTAAGCAAGCTGCCTTCTCCTAACAGGTATATGAATGGTACCTGTGTAGAAGGAAGCAGCTGTAAATTTGCACATGGAAATGCTGAACTTCATGAATGGGAAGAAAGAAGAAATGCCCTAAAGATGAAACTCAACAAAGCACGAAAAGATCACTTAATTGCCCCAAATGATAATGACTTTGGAAAATATAGTTTTTTGTTTAAAGATTTAAACTAATATGCTGACTTTTATGTAACCCCATCAGATCATTGACCAGAAAAACTGGAAGTGTTGAGTGGCAGGTAGCAGAGGAGCTGCAGATTTTCTGCTTGTATTGGCATCTATTGTTCCTCCTGAGCAGCAACCCACAGTAGGTAGGAAAATGGCTGTTTAACAGGCCTGGCCAAGCTCTCATGGAGCCACTGGCATCAGATGGCAAAGTGACTTGCTGCCTGGTTGCTGTCTGTTGAACAGACTTTTGGATGAAGTGTGTTGGGGAAGAGGATAATATCTAGGACAACTCTGAGTTGGTCCATCAGATAAGTACCATGATGGTAAGAGAAAAAAACACTGGGATCAAAATACATGATGGATGAAATTCTTTACATGTTTTAGTGGAATGAATTTATTTAATATAATAAAGTTTGCTACTTATCTGTATGTAGGTTGCTAAAAAGGATTTTCTTAACTCAGATTTTAAGCCAAATAACCATTTAACACCAGTATCTGTTAAATGGAGTATTTTTCTGTATTTGTAGGTTCACTGTGATAAGGGATCTGATGATTATGTGCATCGAGAATATTTTGAAAAATAATCAGTTGACGCAAATTTCATTTCTTGGTCTTTGCTATTTAAATGATGATTTCAAAAGATTAAACTTGTACTGTTGGTATTGTGTAGTATATGGACCAATATTGCCTGTAATAAAAGATTTTATATATAGATGACTTTCAGTTTTTGGTGTGTTCCTTTCTCTTTAAAGAATTATTGAAGCTAGGAGGCCGGGCGTGGTGGCGCACGCCTTTAATCCCAGCACTTGGGAGGCAGAGGCGGGTGGATCTTTGTGAGCTCAAGGCCAGCCTGGTCTACATAGTGAGTTCCAGGACAGCTGGGGCTACAAAGAGAACTCACAGAGATCTGCCTGCCTCTGCCTCGCAAGTGCGGCGACTACAGGCGTGTGCCACCATGCCCGGCTTTTTTTTTTTTTTTAAAGAACCTAGTCTACAGCTTGGTATGGAAGGTATATGTCTGTAATTCCAGCTACTCCAGGAAACCAAGGCAAGAGCATCATGAGTTTGAGGCCAGCTGGGGCTACAGAGTGAGACCTTGATCTGAAACACCTAAAGCAAGGTCAGGCACGGTGGTGTACATATTTAATTCCAGGCAGGTGGATCTCTGAGAGTTGGAGGCCAGCCTGGTCTACATAGTGACTTCAGGACAGCTGGGGTTACAGGGAGACCCTGTCTCAAAAAGACAACAACAAAAAAATTGAAACTAGGCATAGTAGTGCACACCTTTAATCCCAGCACTCAGGTGGCAGAGGCACATGGAACTCTGTGAATTTGAAGCCGGCCTTTGTCTATACAGTGAATTCCAGACGTACCAGGGCTGCATGTGAGAGCTTGTCTCAAATAAATAAAAATCTTTTTATTAGAACTAGGTTTCACAGTTTTCTTGTTTTATGTATATATGTGTATGGTACTGGGGATTGCACCCAGGGTCTTGCACATACCAAGTAGTCACTGTACTGCTGAGCTATAGCCCCAATCCTATTTTTACTTTGAGGCAGGGTTGAGCTTGTGATCCTCCTGCTTCAGCCTCCCAAGTAACTGGGATATAGGTATGTGCCACCAGATCCAGCTCAAAAGTTGGTTTTCCTTTTTTTAAATTTTTATTATTTTTTAAATTTTATATGCATTAGTGTATTGCCTACAAGTATGTAAATGCACCCGTGTTGTGCAATGCCCACAGAGATCAGAAGAGGGCATTAGATCCCCTGAACTGGAGTTACGGACAGTTGTCAGCTGCCATGTGAGTGCTGGGAATCAAACCTGGGTCCTCTGCAAGAGCAGCCAAGTGCTCTTAACCACTGAGCCATCTCTCCAGCCCCTTCCATTATTATTTTAACTTGAGACAGGATCTCATGTGGCTCAGGCTAGCTTTTTGAACTTCTGATCCTCCTGCCTTTATCTCCCTAGTGCTAGAGTTAAGAGGCATTTACAAGTTAGTTGGTTTTTGTGTTTTAATTTTGTATTTATTATTAGTGTATGTGTATGTGCAGGCACATGCATGCCACAGTGTATGTATAGGTTAGGACAACTTTGTGGAGTCAGTTCTATCTTTATATGGGTTCCAGTGATTGAACTCGAGTTGCCAGGCTTTGTGGCAGCTGCTTTTACCCATCTAGCCATCTTACTGGTCCCATAAGTTGGTGTTTGTTTGTTTGTTTTTTTGGTCTTTTTGAGACAGGGTCTCCCTGTAGCCCCAGGTGTCCTGGAACTCACTATGTAGACCAGGCTGGCCTTGAACTCACAGAGATCCACCTGCCTCTGCCTCCGGAGTGCTGGGATTAAAGGTGTGCGCCACCACGCCAGGCTTGTTTTAATATGGAACCCTTCATGAATTTGTGTGTCATCTTTGCACAGGGGCCATGCTAATCTCTCTATCATTCATGTTTTAGTATATGTGCTGACAAAGTAAGCACTATAAGTTGGTTTTTTAAAAAAAATATTTTTATTTTATGTGTATAAACATATTGCCTGCATGTATGTAAGTACACACGTATTGTGCAATACCCTTGGAGGTCGGAAGAGGGCACTGGATCCCCTGGAAATGGAGTTGTTAGCCACCATGTGGGCACTGGGAATTGAACCTGGATCCTCTGCAAGAGCAGCCAGTGCGCTTAACTGTTGAGCCATCGCTCCAGCCCCTGTGTTAGTTTTTAAAATAGTATTTTATTTGAATGGTGCAAACTGGAAGTACACAGAAACATCTCTTTTGTCTACCCCATCACCTCAGGATTTAGGCTCAATTGGAGGCTTCTTGTGTTGATCTTGTGGCTCTCATTGGGGTTTTTCTGCATCTCATTGAGGAAATCATATTAGCAGGGAGGGAAGAGGTCAGCTCCTTTGGAAATTAAAAGACATGGACTCTGGGAGTCCACAGGAGCACTGTGTAGCCCAGTGCACCCGACAGACCCTTGGGGTTGTTGAGGGAGATGGACCTGAGACAGAAATGACTAAGTTGGCCTTCCTGCAACCTGAATGGCCCTCAGAGGCTGAGACCAGCAAGTGAGCAATGTATCTTTTACTGCTGGCTGGCTTCTTTAATTGAATGCAATAGTTTCTGGGTCTATGCTTACCTTAGCATGTATCTATACTCCATCCCTTTTCATGTCCAAATAGTATTTCATCATGCAGACAGATTACATTTTACTTACCCATCCACCAGCTAATGAACATTTGGGTTGTTTCCACTCTTTGGCTATTGTGCATATACATGTTACTGTGGAAGTTTTTGTGTCCCTAGAATTTTGTTGGCTGTGAGGTGACAGTCCCTCCTGATCTCAGGCACTCCCTTTCTGTTCAGTGATCCCACCCTATGCCTGAGGTGCCCTGAGTGAGCAGGGCTCCATTCTCCTCATCCATTCCAAGGCTGCTTTTCCTACAAGGACCTTTTGCATAACATCCTCATTATTGTAACTTAGCTCCAGAGACTGCCATCAATTGAGAAATGGAAGGAGAGCATATTCCCTGGTACAGCTTGCAAACCTTTTTCAGTTAGCTGGGGAGACTGGATGGAATACAGTCTTGTATTTGTTGCAAGGGATGAATGCCAATCTGTAGAAACCCCATTCAGGGTTCATGATACAGTCTTTGTGAACTAGACATGGAGCCTGAGGAAGGAGGATCACCAAGTTGAAGCTGGCCTGGGTGATAAAGTGAACCCTTGTCTTAAAAAAACCAAACAAATAGGCAGGGTGCGATGGCGGACACCTTTAGTCCCAGGACTCAGAGGCAGAGGCAGATGGATCTCTGTGAGTTCCAGGCCAACTGGGGCTATAGGGAGACTCTGTCTCAAAAAGACCCAAAACAAACAAAACAATAAACCCAAACTAATGGGCTGGGAAGATGGCCGAGGAGGTAAAGTACTTGCCACAAGCATGAAGACCTGAGGTTGGATCCCAGTACCCATGTAAAAAGCTAAGCATGGTAACCCCAGCACTGGGGAATTAGGCAGGCAGTTCCCTGTAATTTGCTGGCCAGCCAGCCTAGCCAAATCATTGAACATCTGAGTCACACAGCTGACCTGTGTGTGGCATGGGTGGGGTGTAGTTTCATCTCAAAATCTAGCACTCAGCCATGATTTGATCTTGGTGGCGAGGTTGGGGAGGAGGGGTGGGCTCATGACTGTGTGTGAGCTGGGAGGCCTGAAGAGGGTAGCAGGAGCCTTCTATCACTCTGCCTTATTTCTCTGGGCCTGGTGATTTTTCAGCAAGTTTGACAGTCAGCAAGTGCAGTGCTGGGGTTACAGGAACATGTGAGACCAGGCCTGGATTGTTATGCAGTGCTGGGATCTGAACTCAGGTCCTCATGGTTCCACAACAAGCGCTCTTAACCATCGAGCTATCCTCCAGCCCCCAATTTTGTCTTTTTTGCATGTATTATATTGACTTAATATTTCTCTTTTGGTTGAGACAAAGTCTCAAATGTAGCCCAGGCTGGCCTCAAACTTGAGGCAGCTCTCTTGCTTCAGCCTCCAAGTGCTGTGATAACAGGCATGCCAAGATTCTCTCAAAATTTTGTTTGCCCAGTTCATAATTAGTCCTCTTAAGGACACAGAGTGGGTTTCTAGAGTGTTTTCTCCAACAACCAGTTTGGGGTCCAAATTTCTCATAGCTTCCTGGCCTTGGAAAAGTGACTTTTTAAAAAATTAAAAAATTTTTTTGGTCTTTTTGAGACGGGGTCTCCCCGTAGCCCCAGCTGGCCTGGAACTCACTATGGAAACCATGGGGGCCTCAAACTCACAAGAGATCCTTCTGCCTCAGCCTCTGGAGTGCTGGGATGAAAGGCGAGCACCATCATGCCTGGTTATAAAATTTTTAATTTTTAAAAAAATTTATTATTTTTATTTTTTACTTTTTTGTCCTTTTTTTGAGACAGGGTCTCCTTGTAGCCCCGGCTGTCCTGGAACTCACTATGTAGACCAGGCTAGCCTTGAACTCACAAAGATCTCCCTGCCTCTGCCTCCCAAGTGCCTGGGATTAAAGGTGTGCACCACCACACCCAGCTATTATTTTTATTTTAATGTGTATGAGTGTACTGCCTGCATGTATGTGAGTGCACCCATGTCGCGCAATGCCATGGAAGTTAGAAGAGGGCTTCGGATTCCCCTGGAACGAGTTAAGGACAGTTTGTAGCCACCATGTAGGTGCTGGGAATTGAACCCGGGTCTTCTGCAAGAACAGTGTTCTTAACCACTGAGCCATCTCTCCAGCCCCAGCCCCCAAATTTTTAATTAAAAAATTTTTTTGTATGAGGGGCTGGAGGGATGGTTCAGTGATTAAGAGCACTGACTGCTTTTGTAGATGACCCAGGTTCGATTCCCAGCACCCACTGTCAACTTAAGAACTGTCAACTCCAGTTCTACGAGGATCCACCCTTCTGACCTCCATGGCACATACATGCAGGCTATACTATTTTTAAAAATTTGTGTATGCTCACCTCCCTCTGCTTCCCTGGGCCTTCAGGATGCGCAGCAGGTCTCTCTCCTACCCGCAGTCCTCTCTCCGGGGTAAGTCCATTGTGCCCTCGGCACCTTGACTCCCCCAGCCTCATTCACCCTCCCATCTCCACTGCCTTTCTCTCCTCCCGAGTTTGGGCCCTGCCCCATTCCTTGTCATGGGGTCCCAGACACCTGGGGAACCAATACTGCTCCCTGATCCTTTTCATATAGGCCAACATAGTGCCTTCTCTGGGTCCCAGGAGCACTGCTTCTGGGCCTGGCCCGGCCCTCACCTCCCTCTGCTTCCCTGGGCGTGCACCACCCACCAGTCTCTTTCTGGGACACTGGGGCTGACCTTTCCTCTTCCTGATCCTTTGTATCCAGACCAACCCAGCTCCCAGCTC